GACTTGTCACATGAATAATATTATTTACATGTTAACTCGTCCGTGTGGTTATTAATATAATATTAAGACATCAATACTTTTAAAATTATGTATTAGGGAATAGTATTAGTAACAGTAAGAAGACCCAAAACAGAACTATGTAACAAATAATTGACCATAAAATAAACAAGAACAATATATGCCGGGCCTTAGAATGGCCAGACTTAACATTAAAGAGAATGGTCAAAATACTAGCCGAGATCAGGGACACAAAAACAGACAGAACAAGAAAACAAGCCAAAAGGTAAAGGATACCAGAATTAGGGAAAGTCAAAATGAAAGTCAAAGTCAAATACTAAAATTAGATTAAGAATAAGAATGCCCTAAACGACAACCAACTAGTGGAAGCCACGACTGAGCACTGAGCAAATGCTAAATTGGGTTTAAATAACCCTCCTAAGGTTGTAATTGGCTTTATTTGGCTTTTAACACCAAAATGTGTGTGTGTGTCATTTACATGACGTCACACGCACGTTGGCACCATATTTGTTGAGGACAGAGGCGGGGCTATTTTTGTGGGACCACAGCAGATGGCATTCATTAGCACGCCACACCGGCTGGAGATCATTCCATGAAGGTGCTGGACAGCAAGCTGACTTGCCTTAGTTAAGTAATAATTTTCTCGAAGAGCGTGACCACATTTATCGGATGCGGCCACGCTGGATCAAGGTAAGTGAAACGTGACATTCAGACATTTTGCCAAATTGCAAAATAGAAATAGTAGTGATTTATCATTTTGGGGAATAGAATAGATTAAGACCCATTGGAGAGGAAGTAATAAAGATACTTACCTGAGTAAAAGTGTAATGAAATGTATATTTGATTTTGAAACTAGTGGCATTATTTTTATTCTCTGTGGAGAATATATAAATACAACTCCACATGTCCTATTATTAAAAATTACTACATGTTGTGGATTGATAGTATTTTATATATAGTTAGAAATGTTATTGCAAAAGTTATTAATGTTATATTTGGCATTATAATGCAGAGGGCTAATTGGCCACAATAAAGATGGATCTCGGACTACAACGTAATCAGATTGAATTGGTGATTAAGCTTAGTGAAACAAAGAGACATTTTGCCACCATACAGATGGAGTCGGGATGGGAAATCTTCAAACACATTTTGCTAATGTGCAGAAGCCAATGTTTTAAATATCCATATATTTATCCATTATATCCATTATATCCATTATATATGCACTATGCATTTTATAGTTGTTCTTTTTTTTTAATTTGATAATTTTAATTGTTTTGTCCATTATGGAGAACTTGTCAGTACAGAAAGGAAAATAAAAGGGGGTGGGGGAGGGGTTTGACAATTAGGTTACATTTTGGTTCAGATTCATTTCTGTTTTCTATTGTTGTTTTGTAATTGTTTACATTCGGTACATAGATATAGAGTACACTTTTATTGTTAACATAAAATTAACAGTAGTGTTAACACCCTGATACCTCAGTCCACACCATATGCCTGTGCATAGTTGTTTCGTTGTCGTTGATGGTTTGTTTTGAAGTTAGATAAATTTATTGAAGCTAGTTATGGAATTTTTTGTGTGTCGGGTGAACAGTGAATTTCCCTGAGGGCTTTGCTGCTGTAGCTTTGCCCACTTGTTGTTCTGTAGTCCCAACTGTATGTTATGTATCAGCCTTTATTCCGTTATGTTTTGCTTCCCCAAATATATGGGTTTGAATTGTGTCCTGAGTTCAGCTGTGTTTTTTCCCGTTTGCAATATCGTCCTTGGAGTGTCTGCGCTGGGGACTAAGAACCAAGTGTGATTTGTACCTTCCCTCTGATCCCATATCTAGTCGGTGCCCCTGGAATGTCAAGTGGGTTTGTAAGGTCTCTTACGCGTTAGTTGTGGCATCGGGAACTGTCTTCCCGAAATTTTCCCATTTTTCCAAAGAGATCTCCCAGTAGGGTCTGTACTTTCTATGGATTTTGTTTGGGGGTGTGTTCTGTCGCCTCATAGTGGTTTCAAAGTAGTGAGATTGGTTAACGTGTTGTATACACATTGCTATAGGGGGTATAGCTTGTGAAGACCACTTTCGTGCTACCATAACAAGAGCCACTATAGTGATATGGAAGATAAGGTATCTATTCAGCTTGGGAATCGATTTTGGGATGTCATAGAATATAATGTTCTAATCGGTGGGGCATTGTATTCCCTGTGCTATCTGTGATAAGTTTGGCTATATCCTTCCAAATTTTTTCTAGTTGTGGGCATGTCCACCAGATGTGTGCCATAGTTACTAGACTCGCCTTGCATCTCCAGCACTGCTCCAATATGTTCGGGCTATCTTTAATTTATGTAATCTCACTGGTGTCAAGTACCACCTATAAAGTAGTTTTTTGGCTAGTTCTGTGTGTCTTGAGCATAGGGAGAAGGCGTTGGGGGTCACAATCATTTGTTCCCATTATGATTCATCAAATGTTTTTTTTTAAGCTCCTTTTCCCATGCTTTAATGAAGTTATGTTCCCTCAGAGTGTGTTTTGTAGGTAACGCTATGTATATAGAGGAGATGGTTTTCTGGGGTGGTTAGCTCCCTATATATATTTTTTCATGCCCTGTCAACAGCTGCTCCTGAATGGTGATGGGGTCTTGCTGGTTCTGGGTGTATATCCATGAGTTTAACTGACGATATGAATAGTGTGCTATCATCAGTATTTTGTGGGAGTGTTGTAAGTCAGTAAATGGCGTTAGTTTGGTGTTTGTGAGCATTTGGTACAGAAAGCATATACCGTGCCTCTCCCATATTCTGTAATTGAAATCTGGAATGAGGCTTGTCAATGATTTTAATGGATTGTTTGTTAAAGAATAGCACATTTTGTAAAGCATATGCCTAGAAATTTGATGTGGTCGTTTCTCCAGTCATAGTTGTAGGTTCTTTTCAGTCTGTGAGTCATGTCCTGGGAAGTCCCTTGCTTAGGGCTTGTGTCTTGGATATATTCAATTTGTAGTAGGACAATTTACTGTATGTTTCCAGGATCAAGTGGCAGTGTGGTAGGGAAGTGTCTGGGTTTTGTATCGTCAGGAGAATGTCATCCGCGAACATTGTACGTTTATGTTCTTTATGTTGTCTTTTGATGCCAGATATTGATGGGTGTTGCCTAATAAGAGCTGCAAGGGGTTCTAGTGCCAGTATGTACAAGAGAGGCGAGAGAGGGCATCCCTGTCGGGTGCCATTTGTGATGTTAATTGGGTCGGAAAGAAATCTGACATTAGTTATTCCAGCGGTGGGGTTGCTGTAGAGTGCTCACAGAGTGTTCATGAACACCGGCAGGAATTCGAATTTCATTAGAACTGCCTTGAGGAAGTTCCAGTTTAGCCAGTCAAAGGCTTTTTCCGCATCAAATGATGGGAATATGCTGCCTACTTTTTGCCTTTGAAGACTGTATATAAGGTCTAGGACTTTTCTGGTGCCGTCAGTACCCTGTCTACTTTTCACAAATCCCACTTGGTCTTCATGCACTAGTGTGGGGAGAATTGTGGCTAATCTATTGGAATATATTTTTGCTAATAATTTGATATCTGTATTTAGGAGCGAGATTGGGCATAAATTTTGTCCTTTGTCTGGTGTTTTTCCTGGTTTTGGTAGTGTGTCTACATGGGCTATGAGCATCTCTGGCGGCATGGTTCCCGTGCTGACAATATGGTGGAACACCTGTTGTATGTGTGGGATGAGTATGAGGGCAAAGGTTTTGTAATAATAGTTTGTTAGGCCATCCGGCCCTGGTGCTTTCCCTGTGGGTAGGCGCTAGATTGCCTGTTGCAATTCTTCCATCATGATTTGTTTAGATAGTGTATCTTTTTGTTCATCTGTCAGGTTCAGTAGTGTTATTTGCTTCAGATATTTGTTAATCTCAGAGTTAGTGGGTTGATGGGTGGAGTCATCATCTTTTAGATTATAGAGGGCGTTATAGAACCTTGCTAGTTCATTGTTTATGTCTTGTGGATTCCAGAGTTTGTGATTATCTGTGGAGAGTATTTGGGGATTTTGGTAATGGATTGGTTTTTACGCAGCGTATTGGCCATCATTTTACTAGCTTTGTTCCCTTGGGCATAGTGTGTCATTTTAAATTTTTGTAAGGTGTATGCTGTCGTTTGGAATTGATGTTCATTGATTTTAGCGGTTATAGTAAGGATTTTTGTCAAGAGGTCTTGTTGTTTTGTTTGGTAGTAAGTTTGTGTGCTGTCCCTCAGTTCATTAGTGCAGTTCTCCTTTGTCTACTAAGATAGGATGCCCTGCGGATCAGTAGTCCCCGTATGACCGGTTTGTGTGCTTGCCACAGTATTGGGGCAGTAATTTGGGGGGTGTTATTGGTGGCGAAGTAGTGTTGGAGTTCTTGCTCTACCGAGGATGAGAACGCTTGGTCATAGAGGATTGTGTTATTTAATCTCCATGATCCCTTTCCTTAATAGGGGAATGCATCTGTAAGTGTTAGCATCATAGGTGCATGGTCTGATCATGTTATGTATCCTTGTGTACATTGGTGTGCTTGTTGGAGCCCAGCATTAGTCAAGAAGAAATAGTAGATCCTTGAGTGTGTTTTATGCACGTGAGAGTAGTAGGTGTAGTCTTTTTCCCTAGGGTGCATTGTGCGCCAAATATCGTATAAGTTAATTTGAAGTAAGAGTTTGTTGAGGTGGATGCAAGCTGACCTTAGGGCTCTTGATCTTGGCGTTGCTGTGTCATATGTGGTGTCTGTTTCTGTGTCTAGAACATGAGTTAGGTCTCCGCAGCAAATCAAGCAAAACGTTGCTCGTTTTTGTTAGTAAGTGTTGTAGGAATTGTCTCTGGTTATTATTCGGTGCATACATGTTAACTATGGTATATGTTATATTATTGAGATTGCATATGAGGATTAGGTACCTCCCTATAATGTCTTTGAGTATTTTGAGTGGGTCATCCGCCACTGATTGATGTATTAGAATACTAACTCATCTAGATTTGTGGCTATTTGTGGTGTGGTATTGATGTGGATATTGTTTGAAGCCCATAGTTGGTGTTTTGGAGCGTTGAAAGTGGGTCTCTTGGAGGCAAATCACATCTGTACTCTGTTTCTTCAGTTCTGTCATCAGTAGTTGGCCTTTTTGGGGGGGAGTTGAGTCCCCTGACCTTATGTGAGTATATTTTCATTAAGGGTTTTTTCCATTGTGTACATGGTGTTGGCCTTCGGGAGTGTAGTCTGGTGCTCTGGTACGGAGGATAGTGGCACCTCGGTGCGAGTGTGCGGGATTGTGAGGTGTTGAGTGTACCCATATGCATGGTCATATCCCGGGGATAGATTTTGTTTATTGCATACCCCTTATAGGTGGGGTCCTTAATTGGTAGGGTTTGTAGGTTCGCTTCTAGTGGGCCCCTTTTGGAGTCTGTCTGTGTTAATTTGGGTAAGTGTGTACCATTGTATTCCAGTCGGTTCGTAACCTGGAGTGGGGATGGTTTGGGCGAGGACAAGAGTCTTTGGGTGTATTCAACTATGTATATTAGTGCCCAGATGTTGGGCTTGGTACCCGTGCTTGGTACCATGGGGGATGTGAGTATGCGTGTGTTGCTCACTGAGGAGGCTACCTGGGCTCCTCTATTATTTTTGGTGTGGAGACCCTGAATTGCACCTGAGACCAACCCTTTGTTGATATTTTATATTGAATGTGCCTTAGGCGGTGGTGGTATCCCATATTTTTTTTTTTTTTTGGATGAGTATGGGTTATATTGCCAGTGGGTTAATAGCCTGACTCAGGGGCTTTTGGGGGTTGGGTGAGACATAAGGTCCTATCTTGCAACAACGCGTTAGTTGCATTCATTGACATAGTACCTTGGGGGTTGGGTAGGATATGGATCCATATTCCCTAACAGTCCATTATTCACGTTCGTTTACCCAGTACAGTATCAGCATATAAATATCTTCCCTGTGAGCATGTGGTGTGCTTTTGTGTGTCCCCTTGGGGCAGGGGAGCTAGTTTGTGTGGTGACCTTCAAACACTCATTGTTTATCCATTCAGCCACTGGGATTATGTAGGAGTTGTGGTGTATGGGGTAAACGTTTTAGTTGCATCATATAGCTGTTACTTATTAAATGTATTTATTTATTTTTCATTATAATTGGGCGTATGTCTCCTATTAGTAGAGTCAGTAATTACATGCGGATAATATTGTCTCCCCCCTCTTGCTTGTTGGTTCCTATTCTGTCTTTAGGGTATTAGTCTGCCTAGGCCTGGTAGGGTTGATTGCCAGCCGGAACCCTCATTTTATGGGTGGTAAGTTTTGGTTCTCCGGTGGGTTAGGGGACGCATCTATGTTGGGTGGGGTACAGATCTCGATACCTCAGGTTCTGATGTTTAGTGGGCGAGATGTGAATTTTGTGGGTCATGTGTGGTAAAGTTACATTTAGACTAACATAGTAAAGCATAAAATAACATTATAGAACATAACTGGTTTGGTAGTTAAATACTTTACCAGCCCTTGTGTGTTAGGGCATGGTTGTTACTTATTTTGGCTGGTATTAGTTTGTGATTACAAGGCCTTCTGCAAGTCTCTTGGTATCACGGCGGTCCCTTGAGGCAGCTTGTCCGGGCCGGGTAAGTTCCATTTCCTGAGAAGTCTGTCTCAGTCTTCTGGTGAGAGTGTAGTCTCCGTCTTTCTGTTCTTTGAGATGAGGAGTTTGAGAGGGCATCCCCAGCGATAGGGGACTTGATGCTGCCTGAGGATGCTGGTGACTGGTTGGAAAGCCTTCCTCTTCCTCAGCATTGCCGCGGACAGGTCCGGGAATACCTGGATGTTGTTGTATTGAGCAGGTAAGTTCTTGTTTGTCCTGCTCTGCTTGAGGAGAAGTTCTTTCACGTGGTGATAGTGGGCGCATAAGATTACATCCCTGGGGACCGTGTCCGGCAAGTGTCTGGGTTTAGGTACCCGGTGTGCTCTGTCTAGAAGCAGCATAGCAGATGGCCTGGTGACAGTGCATGAAAGAAATCATGGAGGTAGGCCTGCAGTTCTGCTAGTGTCACCGTTTCCGGTATATTTCTTAGTCTCAGGTTGTTTCTGCATGCTCTGGCCTCAATATCCATTAATTTGTGTTCCATGGTGAGTATTGTTGATTGCAGCGTGTTTACGTGTGCTGCTAATTGATTGTGCGCATCTAGGCTCTCCTCCATTTTCTCTTCTATGCAGGAGGTTGTGGCCCCTAGATCTCGTATGTCTTTTTTCAGGCTTGCCAGGCCTGCTGTCCAACCGGCCATCATTTTGCTTGAGAAGGCTTCCAGTTGCTCCATGAGGAACTGTTTAATGACTGTCTCCTCCATCGTTTGATCAGCTGCGTTGTTGGATGGATTATCTCCATCTGTGTCCTCCCCGCCATCATGCTGGTGCGTCTGCACTGTTTGTTTTGAAGATGGCGTATTTTGGACAAAGAAATTGTGCTTAAATTTGTAGAAAATGATCAAGGCACTCCAATAGTTTCCAATTCTTAAGGCAATTTATTTGGACCAGGCTGAAATGTTGCTTTGTAGTTCCTGGTCTAAATAAATTGCCTTAAGAATTGGAAACTATTGGAGTGCCTTGATCATTTTCTACAAATTTATCCGCTTGGTCCTTTTGGGTACTGGGACTTTTTCAAGAGCACCCTGGATTCCCTAGTGAGGAGCTGAGTGCACTTCCAGCTTTGATTATACAAAGAAATTGTGCTTGTCGGCTTTAGATGCTTGCCTCTTCTGTTTAGATTGGGACATGATGTAGTGATGGGACTCTAGGTTGTCTGTAATTTGCTTTAATCGTGTTTTTTTCGGAGCCCATGTGCAGGAGCTAAAGATTACGCTGCCATCTTGCTCCGCTGGTAGCCACGCCCCCTATAGTTGTTTTAAAGAGATGTTTTACTGTATTAGTTGCAAATTTAATTTAATGAAGGATATTTTTACCCACTTCAAAAAGGCTACTGTTTGATATTCCCGGAGGAAGAAACACAACATAATGCACTTTGCCAGAAGTTATATACGACTGGAGGTAATGAAAGCCCCAACTAATATGGTGCCCAGACAAAATGTAATGACGCAGAGTAACACAGGAAGGTGGAGTGACGCTAATGCGTACTGACATGCACTAACACCAGAAATGATGGCAAAAGAAAAAAGTCAGGAAAAGCACACAAAGGAGTTGTGTCACTTCCTGTATGTCAGGGATCTTACATGGAGTGGGAGTCCGGCAGAGTTAGAGTTAAAGTACCCTTTGCAATTTGACACAGGATGAGAGGACTCAAGACAGAAATCCCCAAGGCTGCGACACAGTGCACTGGGGCTGAAATAACCAGTGCTTCCAGGAACGCAGTACAGACAAGGGATATCCAGAAGAGTAGTCAGTAACAGAATCAGAAGTTAGGACAGGCGGCAATCAGGCGAAAACGGTAGACGAGCAGGGATTAAAACCAGGAGTCAGATGAATAGCAGTGAAACCAAACAGGAACAGGAAACATGATCTGACAACAAGAACCAGCTTAGCAGGGTTTAAATAGGGAGTCTCACCCAATCATCAGTGAGCCAGGAACAGGTGTTCAAATGTCCAGAATTAGAGATTCAGACAGCATGAACCCAGGAACTACATAAAAGGAACAAGAGATACGTGGAGTCAAGGGCAAGGTGTCTGACTGGGAGACCCAGGTTCAGACCCAAATACCCATAATTAGCACATAGCATGCTGGTCATCCTGACACTGTAGATATCATCAACTCACAACATAAATCCATACATTAGCGATGACAAAGACAGAACGCAGATTAAAACTATCAGTGGCACCTATATAACCACTAGATCCTCTAATTATTTGTACTTTGAAAAAGTCAGTTACACATGAAATATGCCAGTGCCTGATACTTTCTTTTTTCATTTAAACTTTTATATTTGTTTTACTTGACTTTATTGTAATGAGTTCATTTTTGCTTTTGGAAAAGTTGCTGTGTATTGTGTTGTTCATGGTAAGTATATGCATAACTCATGCTTCTCATATTGAGCATACATGTGGTCAGGAATATTTAAGTAGGCTTTTTCTCTGCTTCAGGAGATTTATACTAAACTATGCAGGCTTCACTATTCATTGTATTCTTTATATCTATGTATTACCTTATAGCTTGAAGTTGGGGAACAGTAACCATCCATATTGGGAAACAAAACTTACACTTCACCCTCAGGCTCACATTGTATCATACAAAAGGCTAACTCTTTTTTTTTTTCTTTTTTACTTGAAAAGGGTGATATACAATTTCAACCTATGTATGGAGTGTTGCAAATTGGGATGCCTTTTTTTCTGGAGAAAACATGACAGTTCTTGAAAAAGGGTATAAAGATATTCTGAATAAGATAAAATTCTTCATCCTAGATGACTATTAATTATATTCATTATACTCCGTTTAACATAGTAGATTTTAGAATACTTGTCTAAAATTTTCTATTAGTAGTTATTTTGTAAAAGTAACATTTTACTAACAATCTATAAAATAAACTGTCTGGATTATGTGAATTGCTCAAGCACCTTTAGTCATGAATTCTACGTTTCTTTAGACATATTGCTTGTGTTGAATGAACACAAAATGAAACAACATTGTCTTGGAAAACTAAAATGCTCCCACTAGTATTATGGAATGTATGTGCATTTTACTCTATGGACTAATGTTAATAACACTGTAGAGCCTTAAGATAATGTCTGTGTATTTAGATAACTATATAAAAGCTCTTTTTTGAAATATATTACATAGATTTAAAGAGTCACCAAATGTTGGCTCTCAGATGCTGATTCAAGTAAGTTCATGACTGATAGACCATTATTGCATTATTTACAGAATTGTTTTTAATTATTTGATACAAACTACGAATAGTCATTTATGGTATAAGTAAGCCAATTTTCAATGGTGTGGTTGAATCATGTTATATTTAACTAGTTTTTCAGCATTTCTTACAGGACGATTTATGCATAATTTGTCTTAATTATGTATTTTTTCTTACATTTTTGGCTAGTTATATATAATATGCTAACACGTAAATAAAAATTGATTCTTGTAAATACATGTCTCCATTTTTGGGTCCAGTTAGAAATTGTTTTCAGTCCTGCAGCAAATGCAACAAAATGGAAAGTAAAAGAATATGAATTAGTTTTTGAATTTCAATCAATAGCTTTCTTTTACTTTTATTTCTTCATTTATTTCTTCAAAGTTTTAATTCTGTTCAAAACAAAAATATTTTTTAAGCAAACAGATTTGTAATCAAACTAAAACCAGCATGGAGAGTCGAATGTGGAAGTTGTAAATATTTATTATCATTCTATATATTTTCTAAGTTCAGTATCATTTCTTAGTTTAAATCTCTTCAAATTATTGCAATGATTCAGCAATGAAAATAGCTTAACAGTATGACGACATCTACAGTGATTATTATTATTAATATTATTATGATTCTCGTGATATATTGTGTCATATTGATTGGCAGAGCTTTGATCTTCTCTAGGCAATTATTGGAAGATTTGTGACATTGCAGACTTCATCAGTAAATATA